TGACACCTTTAAAGGTGATGATAAAGCAAAAAATCGAACAAGTTCAAGAGTATTTATTTTGCTAAGTGGCAAATTATGGGATTGCTTTATTGTGTGATCTTCAATTCAATGAGAAGGCACACATAAGACTATTTGTGTAATGACCTAGTTAAGGTTAATGTGGTTGTTATCGACAAAAATGAAGCTATTAATGAGAATGCTTCGTATGCTTTCATTTTAAGTTTACCGGAGAACTTGTGGGGGGAATTCTTGTATGTCTAATCACGTATTAAGTGTAATTCCACACAAGAAAAATGATATCTATCATAAGGAGTTTATGGAATGGTACAAAGTTGACTACAAATATCTCAAAATGTGGGGGTGTTTAATTATAAGTTAAATATGTTAGTATACGACTTTGAGGGATATACTTATGCAATTGAATTTTCGATTTAAAGATAATCAATCAACAATGCATGCATAGAGCTCATAAATTTAAAATGTAAGTCTAGACATATTTGTCATATACATAATATTGTGAGGCATTTACTCTCTAATGGAATACATTTCATTGATTTGGTGAAATCCAAAGATAACCTAGCGGATCCATTTACTAAAGGTTTATCTAGTGAGAGAGTTAAATGTGCATCGAGGGGAATATGTCTAAAGCCTAAATAACTAAGTTACCTTATACGGAAACCTAACTTGGCGACTGGAGATCCCACGGACCAAGTTCAATAGGACAACTAATTTTGTGTAACTTAAACAATCCTAGCACTTAGGAGTTTTTACTCCATCTTATTCCTATGATGCAATAAGTGCAACCTACGACGTTTAAAAAGGTTAAGCTATTGCTTTTAATGACGTCTATATCTTGTCAAGTACAAGTGGGGTATAGTAGGATACTCTTTATAGATGCGGTCGGTCACCTATGTTAGTGTGAGCTGGGTCGGCTCGTTGAGAATTCTTATAAATGCTTAAATTCTCTAAAGCACTCGCAGAACCCGAGAATGTTCAGGGCCGAAATGAACACAACCGAGAACTTGAAACACGCGTGTTTAGTACGGTGTTAAGCTTATTGTCTTGGTTTACACAAACAGCCGACAGTTCAAGATGAAATAATTCACTGATTGGCTAAGTAAATCCGATAAACTTTAACTAGGGAAGGTTCAAGATGAAATATTTCACCTATCCCGATGTTGTACTATTCCTAAAAGATTTTTTTGACAAAATGATCTCATGAGATGAGGTTGGAAGAATAATTTTATTCATGTGGGGGATTGTTGGAATTTTTAATTGAATAAAATAATTAGGGTATTTCAAATAGGTGCATGTTTGGAATGAATTGGTTTCTTTCCAAACAACACATCTATTTATGAAATAACTCTTTTCAAAATAACATATCCATTTATAAAAGGACTCTTAAATATCTATAAATAAGACAAAACCTGATCAGTTTTGCATAGGATATAATAAGACGTTTGTGAATTTCTTCCAAAAACTCTTCTGTAAAAATTTGGTTCCCACGTTTCTAGTTCGCCGTGGGCTTTGAATTTGTTCAAATATCGAAGTATCCGACTGTTGTATCTTGGGAGACTACCGGGAGTGACTGTTGCACCGTAGACAGCCCGGAAATATTGTCTTAAGGACATTGCTTTTGCAAGCCTCAGTCGATTTTTCATTCTTCATATTTCCGGTTAATTTCTACTTCCAAGTAAGTGTAATTCTTATTCAACTATTTACGTAGATTGTTATATTTATACCAACAGTCGGGATATACACGAGAGTATTCCTCGTACGTTGTATCATGGCACGATCCAGTACATGTGGGTCGTAGAGCCGTATATGCCTGATCTTTGCGTTCGATAGTTCGGGTGGGTTCAGGATATTCCGCGCGGCTTGATTCCATCGATGGAGCCATGTTCACGCGGTCCCAAAGGAGGTACATCGTACAAAGTCAACTACCTATTTCCGGGTGGTATGTGGGACATGGTCCAGGCTCATTCCATTCGTGTCAACGTATACAAGACGGCACGACGACGGGGGGAAGTCGACGAGCACTACATGGAGTGGTACACCGATCGGACTCATCTGAAGATCAACAACCCCGACGTAGGCCCGACTCCAGTGCATCGAGAAAATGTGAGGCCACTAGATCAGGTGGCTTATTACTAGATAGTACGTGCATTGTACCCGATCACCAGGAGCACTGGACAGGACTGGATGCAGCAGTTTGCCGATCTACGTGCCGATCTTGGAGATATTATGCAACCCGTCGCCCGATATATTGGCATCGACCATGACAACGACGATGACGACGACGATCATGAGGTGCAGCTGCCAAGGAGAGCGAGGCGGTAGTTTATCAGTTTTTTTTTGCCAGTTATGTATTTTTATGAACTATTTAATTTTAAAGTTTATTTTTATTATTATTAGGACTATGCATTTTTATTATTGTTAGGAACTATTTAATTTAATAATTTGTTTTTATTTTTATTAGGAATTAATTATTTTACTAATCTTGTTTATTATTATTACGAACTATTTAATTTACTAGTTTGTTGTTTTGTATTTTAATTCACTAGTTTTATGATTTGAATTTAGAAACTACGTACAACTGAAGCAATTAAAGTACACATTTAAACAACCTTACAAATGTAATCATTCCAAAAACATAGGTTAAACATATAAAATGCAAAACACAACGCTACAAATTTAAATATTCCAAAACATAAATTAAACATTAAAATGCAAAACTAAAACAAATACAAATTTAAACATAAGTTAAACTTTCAAATACCCGGCAGATGGTTATGATTACCATTACTCACACTCAATCGCCATAATCCATCCTCTGTTGATTTGTTGCCAATTAACCTGAACGGACAAGAACGTTTCTTCAATAGTACGTGTCGTCCAGATTGATATCTTGCACACGTTAAAACATGATATTTTTCTGATTTACAATGATTAATCAGTCGATGATTGTGACTAATTGCTGTGTCTTTTGCCCACATAATTAACGCTTCTCTACTATCACACACAATACCACGTTCAAAGAAGTGACTATGATCGTGAGATTGTTCTCTTAGTTCCTGCATAAATATTTAAAATTAAAATACAATATTTAAGGGATTTCGTAGAAAAACATACGAAATGTAAACTACAATTCCGTGTAAAAACACACGAAATAAGAGCTTCCATTTCGTAGTTTTTACTACGAAATGTAAGCTTCAATTTCGTATGCTTGTCTACGAAACAAACAACAAACGATTTTAAGACATATTTCGTATAGTATTACACGAAATGAGAGCATATATTTCGTATAGTATTACACGAAATGAGAGCATATATTTCGTGTGTTATAACACGAAATGTCTAAAAACGTTGGAAATGAACAAAAAACGTGTATTTTCACCTCAAAATCAAAGCCGTTGTCATCCATGTCGATAATACTTGTGCTCTAACTGATATTGGTCGAAAAATTACTCAAATTGAAAAATTTCAAGAATTAAAGGTTGAGAGTGTTTGAGAGCAGATTTGGATAAGATTTGGAAGAGAAAAAAAAATGAATTATTTTCCACTGCGAGTGGTAAAAACCGCACTGATAATAGCAAACCCCCTAGCGAAAATAGAGAAAGAGAGAGATAGAGAGAAGGAGAGAGAAAGGGTTGGGGCCAATGAAGAAAGAGAGAAAGAAAGTCATGATGGGGCGGCGGAAAAAAAAAAAAAAAAAAAAAAAAAAAAGTAGGTCATGGTGGGCGGCTGATTAGAGAGAGAGAAATAGAGAAATGAGATGAGAAAAGAAACATTAATTTTTATTAGGTATATAGCAAGGGTATTTTTATGTTAAATAAAAATAAAATGATGTTGGTCAAATTTTATTTTCAACTAAGGATTTAATTAAAATGTTCTATTTGAGGTTGTCCCTCACATCTAATTAGGTTTGGAGCGGTGTTTCCAATATTAACCATAAAAGGTTTATACAACTCTCAAGAACACAACTCTCTATGCTTTCGTAGAATCGAAAACAAATATGTATGATTTATTTTATTTCTTCGAGCATGCTAGTTGTTTAATTTATTTATTTAAATTATATTATAAGCGAGCATGTGTTATGGTGATTGTAAGACACAAGCTAAGGTACGCAATTAATTGCTCTTATATGCATGTGTTTATTTATTAAAAATAGCTTATACATAAACAAATAAAATTATTTTCCGCTGTGTACACGTGTTTGATTCCCAATAAGTATTAGTATCAGTATTATTAGTATTAGTATTACTATTAATATTAATATTAATATTATGATGAATATTAATATTAGGATTAGTATTAATATATCAATATTAGTATCAATATTGATATATCAATATTAGTATCGATATTAAAATTAGAAGTTACATGGATAATTATACCTCGCAATACTTTATGGATGTTCAGTTTTATATGCAACAAATAGAATTTTCCGCATGTATAATCGAGTATACTGTTTTTTGTGCAAGGTAATTTTATGCACACATTATTCGTTATATCTTGAAATGATGAGGAATAATAGGTTATCCATCCTATGACGCTAGATTTGATTGTCACTTAGTGTTCTACTGTACTAACATTCAGATTAATGTGCAAGAATGGTGCACTGCTTTGATTGCAGTCTTGGAATTGGTTGTGGCATTTCAACATTGGCGAGTTTAGAACATTGTCAATTTATATTTATGTAAACTTCTTATTGATAATAAGATACAAATTTGTTATGTTTTGTTCGATGGTGTTCGATTTACATTCTCGACATTGTTTAGTTGGTTGATTTTCTACATTAATGCATTTTGATTTTAGATTTGATTCTCGTACACGCGCGCGCACGAGTGAGGTACTAGTGACTAGGGAGTGTAAAACTTGAATAAAATATGAGTGTTTTATCATTTAATGGAATCTCATTTTCATCTCCCACGGGATCCAAATGTGCACCATTTGTCTAATTGACCCTACCTTAAATCGAATCAAATTAAAAGGTAGAAACTGAAAAAAAGAGTAGTATAATTCTTACACTCGGACAGAAATTTCGGGCGAACATCAACAGCAGCAGGTCGAGATTCTCAAGAATCAATTTAGTTCTTTGGGCTTCGTTTTCTGCTAATTTTTAATTCCTCGAAAAACTTCAATTACCATAGCTTAGTCAGTCGATTCATTCTTTGAATTATTCACTTCTTTTAGCTTCATATTAAATTATACCTATCTGTTTTGTCGTGCATGCAATTGATATGATGTTTTTATTTGTTCTGTATATAAATTAAATCTTTCATTTTTTTTAGTTGGTTGTTATTTGATCTTTGTTTAATCTGACATCCATTTAGAGTGTATTGGTTTGTGAAAGAAACTATGTTGCCCCTGTCAAACTATTGAAAAGAAAATTCCTTTTTATATTATTATTTCTGGTTTATTTGACTGATCAGTCATGGTTGAATATTTCACACGAGTATTATGCTGAATTTGAGTTAGATATTTTTGTTTCTCCTGTTTGTACCTTGGATGTAAATGATGATTTTACAAAAGGAATCATTTTTTTCCGTTTGGTTTTCAACCGATTTGTATTTATATTGATTTATATTTTTTTTCATTATATTCTCTATATGCTTACCTGTATTTGTAATGTGTTTATATATCGATACTTGTTCGTCCCAAAGGAGAAGGTGACGATACAGTTTCGGTTTTAAGCTCCTTATACTTTTCCTCATTTTATTTTGTAGAAAATGTGTTTGAGTTTAATCATGTTCGTCTGTGATTGAAAAGAGATAGTGATAACTTGGGATTTTTTGTTTCTAAGTGGGTTTTGATCCTTGGATTTTTTTTTATAACAAGCAATCAAAACAATCTTAAATCGAGACGAGCTATTTCAGTTACACGTATCGTTTCAGATTTTTTTAATTGGCTAGTTGTTATTCTCTACATCAAGAGTCTATATTTTCTCCAAACATGTTCATAATTGCTTTTGTTTTTATCGCTGTTTTTTAGTTGCGGCTGCATAGTTTTGTCGTTTTACTGCTATCATTCAACGGTTTGAGCCTTTGTCGTTGCTCACGTGGAAAAGTTCATAAAAAAGATGGCTATATTTTTTTGAAAAGTCTTGTTTACTCAACTTTGCTCTATTGTCTCTGCACTTTCTTATGCTATTTTTTCTGCATTTCCATTAAACATTATGGATAACTAACTTTTGATTATCTGTTTATTGTAAAGATTTTCGTGCTATTATTCCCTTTGATATAATTTCCCGGTCAGCAATTTAGTTTTAATATCTCTTATGTTGCTTCTTAGGTTTTCATGTTAATATATTTTCTACATGCATGCTTGGCTGATTTCCAGTTGATCGTGGTACTTATCACTCTTTCCATGCAGAGTGTGTAGCTTTGTTACATTTGGTGACGTTAGTTAGAGATAAATTGACTTAACGAACACGATGAAATGATTTTTTTTTACTAAAATAAAGTAGTATTTTCCTTTTATATCGAGGAACGCGATTCTTTCGAGATGCCTATTTTTTAAATTGTGCGGGTATGAAACATTCTATATTAGTGGGCCTTGTAGTAGGGTGAATTAGTCCAAACTCCATATAATTCCAATTATATGATTCATTAATTCACTTCAGTTGCAGTCTGTGTGTGTGTGTGTCTATATATATATATATATATATATATATATATATATATATATATATATATATATATATATATATATATATATGTGTGTGTGTGTGTGTGTGTGTGTGTGTGTGTGTGTGTGTATGTTTATTAATTTATTCAAATCCTACCTAAATGGTAGTCTCAACTACACGGTGGTGAAATCATGAGGGAAAAAAATGCTTTAATAGTTTATTATACTATTGATTTACCTCCAAAAGTATGATTTTGCAATGTTTTTTCCTCTAATTGATCGATTTAATGTTCTTTGCAGTTTGGTTGATAAATTTTGGGAGGTTGAGTATGGCTCAGGACACTGTTCCAATAAGTGCTGACTCACCAAGGAGGCGATCTGGGCTATTAAGAGATCAAGTTCAGTTAGTAAAGAGAAAGGATAGCGATCGGTACGAGATAGCTCGAATACAAGATCCATTGTCATTTGAGAAAGGGTTTTTTGTGTTTGTACGTGCATGCCAATTATTGGCTCAGAAGAACGAAGGGATGATATTGGTTGGTGTAGCGGGGCCCTCCGGTGCTGGAAAGACTGTCTTTACCGAAAAGATACTCAACTTTATGCCTAGCATCGCTATTATCAATATGGATAACTATAATGATGCATCCCGTATCATTGATGGCAACTTTGATGGTAAAAAATTTATTTTAAAAATTTTGTGATATATACAAGCTGATTTTTAGTCTCTTTTGGCGTTATTATCTACTTCTTGATTTCCCCCGAACTAAATTCTAGAAAGTCCTAACTTGCATGGATTCCCTAGGAATGCTTGGTTTTGTTTTTGGTGTTTGGGACAAGTATTTTCGGGAGATGCCACGTGTAGGTTGGTTTGTGTGTGTGAAAAAGTGACGGACATCCTTCGGCACTCGATAAAATTTGGTTTTAATTGCGTTGTGATTATTTAACTGTAGGATATGGTTACACCATACAGATTGAGTGCATCGTGTCGTTTTTCTAATTGTAGAATACAAGGGCGACCATGTGTCATATTGTATAGTATATATAATATACATTCCAATTCTGTCACGAGCTTGCTTTACGGGACATGTATTAATAAGCTAAAATTACTTGTAGTTTTTCAATCTTTAATTTATAATAATGAGTCGTATCTATTCAACAGATCCGCGATTGACAGACTACGACACTCTGCTTGAGAACTTAAATGGTCTGAAAGCAGGAAATCCTGTCCAAATCCCCTTGTATGATTTTAAGTCTAGCTCTCGCGTAGGCTACAGGTTAATTCCTTACCAACTTTTTTTTTGTTGCTGATTTGCATTATTTATGATATTTTCTTATTTGATGTCTCGTCCTCTTTCTCTCTCCCAACTATAATGATTGCAATATTAGTTGAATTTGTACACGCATAACTTGACATTGAACATCGCATGCTATGGTTTATCGAAAAAAAAACATTTTATGCTATGCACTGATATATGTACTACTGACTCTATATAATCTCCATATTTATCTTTTTCACGTGTTTTGCAGCAATGTTCTCTAGCTATTTGTTTTGTATGTGTATTATATACATGTTGTTGGTTTAACTTGTGATATTAAAAACAGAACTTTGGAAGTTCCAAGCTCTCGAGTTGTTGTGATTGAAGGAATATATGCATTGAGCGAAAAGTTACGTCCTTTACTTGATCTCCGTGTTTCTGTTACTGGTGGAGTCCACTTTGACCTAGTCAAACGTGTTCTGAGAGACATTCAGCGTGCCGGACAGGAGCCTGAAGAGATAATTCATCAGATATCCGAAACTGTGAACCTCTGTCCCTCTCTCTCTCTTTATATATATATGTATATATACATATATACACTTGAATTGCCGATAATATAGATAGAAAATATATCCTTGCAGGTATATCCCATGTACAAAGCTTTTATAGAGCCAGATCTGCAAACAGCACATATCAAAATCATTAACAAATTCAATCCATTCTCCGGATTTCAAAACCCAACGTATATATTAAAGGTGATTTTTCTAGCTACTTTATATGGGTACTGTGACCACTAAAAAGTGTTGTTGCCTGACATTTTTTTATGTTGATTATTTAGTCAACAAGAGCAGTGTCTGTGGATCAAATAAAGGCTGTACTTTTGGAGGATTATAAAGAAAGTAGAGAGGAAACTTATGATATATATCTTCTCCCACCCGGTGAAGATCCCGAAGCATGCCAATCTTATTTGAGGATGAGGAACAGAGATGGAAAGTACAATCTCATGTTTGAGGTTTCATTGCCCATTTAACTTCTTTATTTAATTACGTTTTTATTTTCTTACCTATGATTAATTCGATGATGGTTTGTTGCCGTGGATAAAATTGTATTGAAAAATATTGTCAGGAATGGGTGACTGACAGCCCTTTTATTATATCACCAAGAATTACTTTCGAAGTGAGTGTGCGACTTCTCGGTGGACTGATGGCATTAGGATATACAATTGCATCCATACTCAAAAGAAGCAGCCATGTTTTCTCAAATGATAAAGTCTGTGTCAAAACTGATTGGCTCGAGCAACTTAATCGCAAATATGTCCAGGTATGGTGGTATCACTCCCACTACTTTTTCCGACTAGTAATTCGTATATTGTATAGGTTATTCCTATTCTTGAAAAATGGATCTATATGGATATATATGTATATATTATTTTTAATGTTCGTTCAAGGTGTATATCAACTAGTCCTTGTTATTATATCAACTTTAGTGTTACCCCTGATTCTCAAAATATTGTGGACAGGTACAAGGAAAAGATCGTTTATATGTAAAATATGTTGCTCAGGAGCTGGGCTTGGATGGTTCATATATTTCACGAACATACATTGAACAAATTCAGTTGGAGAAACTCATAAACGACGTCATGGTTTGATTCCTTTGCAATAAATAATCCAGATTGTTAATTCTTGATTATTATTATTATTGTGTTTAGTCTCATCCAAAAAAATCGACAGGCACTGCCAGATGATTTGAAGTCGAAGCTGAGCATAGATGAGGATATGGTTTTAAGTCCTAAAGAAGCTCTATCCCGAGCCTCTGCAGATAGGAGAGTCAAGTTCCTTAACCGGTACCCTTTTTTACCCAACTAGACCTTTTTTTTTTCCTTTCAAAATCTGCAACTTTGAATTTGTTTGCGGACTTTTATGTTGTGAAATATGATTAATTGTTTCACTGTTGTACGCAGTGGGATTTCTCAGTCGTACTCGACACAGCGAGATAAAAATATAAGCAAGCTGACAAAACTAGCTGTTAACAATAGAAGATATGATGGAAGAACCCCTGTTTCACCCGCTGCACATGCTAATGAGGTGACTCTCTTATGGGTTTTGTTCGATTCTGCTTTTATCTTTAGGCCTCGTATGGTTGGGGAGATTAGCCATGATTAACTAAATAGTTGGACTTTGTTTGATGTTCCCGGGTCGACCCGGAAATATTATGTTTTGGTACTTGTCTAATTACTTTTGTTGCTTGTCTAATAGCCATCCATGTATGCCACTTGTCACTGATTAATAATATTTAATACCAACAATCATTAATTTCAGGGCATTGTTACGCAGCTATCGGAACAAATATCGACACTGAACGAGAGGATGGACGAGTTTACATCACGAATAGAACAACTCAACTCTAAAATTTCAATTGGGAAACTGTCTGCTGTTAGCCAGCAAAGTTTGGCTCCTGAGGCATGCATTAATGGTCCATTGGCTGCTTCGGTTCTACCCAATTCCTCCTCGTATTCTCAATTAGCAAGGGACTCCCCTTTCATGGAAGAGGTATATATATATATATATATATATATATATATATATATATATATATATATATATATATATATATATATTTTCTTTTTATGGAGTAAATAAATAAATTAATTGATTGTAGAATAATATAAATTGTATAATCTGGAAACGAACAGGTATTAGTAATTGCTCGTGGACAACGGCAAATAATGCATCAGATAGACAATCTGAGCAGTCTCCTACGCGAATATTATGGAGAAAGGTCTAATAATCGAGGAAGACCAAATCAGACGAGCGGAGGAGTAATAGACGATGGATCCATTGGGGTTCCTTTACTTGTCGTCTCTTTGGCTGCTGTTGCTGGTATAGGAATCCTCTTGCTCAAGACTGTGTCGTTTCATAAGTAAATTGTTGTCTATGCTACCTTTTTTACTGTTGTTGGTGTGGGCTTTTTGTTGTGTGTATATAGAATTTGTAATGGAGATGGAGTATGATAAATGTATGTATGATTTCATTTTATTTGAATTTTTATTTTCCTTTTTTCTTTGGGCTCTTTGAGAAAACCCCCTCACTACTTTTTTTAATGGAGGGATGCCCAAAATATTTTAGTCAATTTGAGAAAAGTTCACACCCATTTTCAGCCATTGGCTATGTTTGGTAAGCTTTTGGGCTTCTATTTCCATTTTATTCTGGAGAAAGATGTTTTGGGAGAAGAATTTGAAAATAAAATAAAGTTTGTTTGTGTTTTGAGAGGAGACAATTTGTACTGTAGCAAGTCAAATCATGTTTAAAATGTGTTGGAAAAAGTTATTTTGAAAGAAGAATTTGAAGGATAAAGTGATTTTAATTTGTAATTTAGTGAAGACAATTTTCACTGTAGAAGTCAAATCATGTCTGTTAGAGAGAGAAAAATTTGAATTCTTTTTAGGGAAAGTTTTTGAAAATATTTCAAAAAGATAATTTTATTTTGGGGAAAGAATGAAAAGAATTTGAGAAGCGTAACAAACATAGCCTATGTTTTCCAGCTTTACCCCCGTCTGACACCTCATCACTAGGTCACGCGCTCCGCGATTTTTTTTTTTTTTTCCGTTTTTTAATCGACTATGAAGCATAGTCGATTAGTCTTAAATCGACTATGCTTCATAGTCGATTAAGGAAATTCTTTATTTTTTTAAAAAAAAAAATTTGTTCTTTAATTTATTTTTTTATATCAGGTTTATTAATTGACTATGATGAAGCATAGTCGATCAAAAGTCTACTACTAAAAATAACATATTAAAACTGCAAAAAAATGCAAAATCAACTATATTTTACAAAAAAACAAAAATATAAGAACATTATAATTGATATATACGATTGGAATCAATAAACAATAAAAAAAAGGAAAATTGGAATCGATGAACTTTAATCGACTACCAGAGCATAGTCGATTAAGAATCTGCTACTAAAAATAACAAATCACAACTGCGAAAAAATGCAAAATCACAACTGCGAAAAAATGCAAAATCACCTATATATTACAAAAACAAAAAATATACAAACATTATAATTGATTTATACAATTGGAATCAATAAACGAAAAATCCAAGAAAACTAAAAAACAAAATTGGAGTCGATCAACCTTAATTAATCGACTACCAGAACATAGTCGATTAGCTTAATCGACTATGAATATGTACATAGTCGATTAAGGTTTCAGCCTGCGCGAAATTCTCTATACGCGCCGTTATCCGCCCAATCCAACAAAAAACCCTAAATCTGCTTCCCTATCGTCACCACACCGCTGCCACAATACACTATTCAACCAATCCCTAATAAGAATAAAATAAATAAATTAAATAATTCATTAAAAAAAACACAAATTAACATTTCAATGTCAAAAAAAAAAGAAAACAAAAAAACAGAACCGATTCAGTCATCATCTTCAACGTCGTCGGTGGAAACCACCGCCTCGAACTACAGATCCATCATCACCCTTCACGCGGCGGCGAAAGGCGGTGACAAACACTCTCCACCGCCACCACCACCATCGGTCGATGTCTTGCTTTTCTTCCGAATTTCAGTCGAGAAGAGAAGAGAGAAGACGAGAAAAGAAGAAGAGAGAACGGCAGAAGAAAGAAGACGAGAAAAAGAAAAAGAGAGAGAACGGCAATGGGTTAGGGGTAATAAGGGTGGTTTGGGAATTATTAAATAATATTTGGGTAGGATATTAGGTAAGGGAGTTTTCTCTAATTATTTTTTGGAGGGGGTGTTTTCTTAACTCATTTTACTAGATGAGGGGGTTCTTGCTAATTATCCCTTTTTTTTTTTGTTCGGTTTTAATCCACAGTAGAACTTCTATTTTATTTCATTTAAATTATCGTGTTAAAGAAAAGGAAAATTAGCACGAACCCTTCATTTAGGAAATGCATGCAGTTAAAGAAAATCTTCCTAAAAAATAATTAGAGAAAAGAAAACTCCATTAGTTAATAATCCACCAAAATGCTATTTTTATAATTTCAAAACTACCTTTAAATTGTCTACTGTACCATTTTACAATCTTAATCTTATTTTCTCTGTTTTTCTGCCGTCTCTTCTCTATTTTTTTTCCTATTCTATTTTTTCCACCCAATTATCTAGTTTATTCTCTCTTGATCGGAAGATGAAGTCACACTCGAGAAGTATATTTTATTATTGAATATTAAGTGTGTAGTTGCACTATCAAGTAGGTAATAGTTCAAGTTTTCTATGTCTGCCTGAATAAAACAAACTAAAATTAATACTAAATCGTAGTATTTGTTGCAAATGATATGACAAACTCATAGTTTTATACATTATCAAAATATCAACTCAACCTTGGGAACATAACTGCCAAGGAAGATATGTACATGGATACATCAAAAGACAAAATAGCTCAATCTCGGATACTACATCATCCGATAAAGATATGCACAAAGTATACATAGTGAGTACAAAATAACCCAAAAGAGATGCTCATTTGGCAATTTACACAAGACGATCAAGATTTGTAAAGAAATCTGATAACTCAAGAGAGACTCTATCTTGAGTAGAATCTTGATCAAACATGCTCCCAGATGTGCTGCTTCAGGAACAGCAAGTGGCATTTCTGCCTAAGTGACATGTGCTTGGACATTTTTTCATTTGTCTCTTTTTGAATCCTAGTACAGATTTACCAGGTGTTGGGCAGTTCTGCAAACTTTGGCCCAATGTCAAGTCGTAAACTTTGGCCCAATGTCCAGTCATTCCACATTAAATACACATATTTTCTAGAATTCTTTCCGTGGACATCTTGTCTTTATCGCGATTTGCCTGAAATGGTTGTCTCTGTTTGACCGTATTATTATTTCGACGGAGATATTCATATCCACCTCGGTCATTATTTCGGGTATCTTGAGGGGACCACGTCCACCGCCTCTCCGTGCACCACGCCCAAATCTACACCCACGACCTCTAAACCGGCCCATATTTCTATTTTGATTAGCATGTGCTTCTGACACAACTTGGGACCCACATGGTCGCAAATCATGATTTTTCAATAGTAGTTCATTTGTTTTTTCTGCTGTGAGGAGTACAAAGATCAACTCCGAATATATTTTAAACTAGCGCTGCCTATATTGCTGTTGGAGCACCAAGATGAGGCAAATGCTATGATATTTATCCGCCATTATATTTACGAGGATTTGAAAGACGGATATATACAATTGGAAAGGCCATCAGAAATATGGTGAAAAGTCAAGGAGAGGTTTGATCACGCAAAGAATGTGATTCTCCCATAGGGCTCAATATAATTGGCAGCACCTAAGGCTGGAGGATTTCAAATCTGTCGCCGACTATAATTCGGCACTGTATAAACTTGAGTCCCGATTAGCCTTGTGCGGAGTTATCATATTCAGCCAATTATATTGAGCATGTGGGAGAATCACGGTCTTTGTGTGATCAAACCTCTCCTTAAGTTTTCGTCATATTTCTGATGGCCTTTCCAATTGTATATATTCTTCTTTCAAATCCTCGTAAGCCGATAAAAATCATAGCATTTGCCTCATCTTTCCTGTTTGCCTCCTTGATATCTATATAATCCAAGGCTTTCACAAAATCTAGTCCTTGGAGGTGTAATTTGTATGTAAGCACTAGGATAAAAAATTACCGCCGGTAACATCAAGGATTTGGAATTTTTGTTTTTCGATTCCGACCAACGTAAAGTAAAATAAGTAGAAAATAGTACAACAAAAGAAATTCAAATTTTACAAACCTATAATTTTGTGGAGCAAAAGCTCGTATTGAGAACGTGTTATAACGTAAACTATAATATATATTATATAAGATCTATACTATGGAAATAGAACAGTACGTATTGTAATTAAAATAGTAATGCTAGAATATAAAAATATGAGATAATTAGCAAGAACCCCCTCATCTAGGAAAATGAGTTAAGGAAACACCCCCTCCCAAAAATAATTAGAGAAAACCCCCTTAGCTAATATCCTACCCAAATATTATTTTAATAATTCCCAAACCACCCTTATTAATATTAAATCTCTTCAAAACCCTAACCCATTTATATTTGCCGTTCTCTCTTCTTCTTTTCTCGTCTTCTCGTCTTCTCTCTTCACGTCTTCTCGTCTTCTCTCTTCTCTCTTCTCTTCTCGACTGAAATTCGGAAGAAAAACAAGACGTCGACCGATGGTGGTGGTGGTGGTGGAGAGTGTTTGTCACCGCCTCCCGCCACCGCGTGAAGAGTGGTGATGGATCTGTAGTTCGCGGCGGTGGTTTCCACCGACGACGTTGAAGATGATGATTGGCGCTCGTCGTTGAAGACGCAGTGGATTGACGGCTATGAAGATGAGGCGTGAGAAAATCACTGTTGCAATTGATGTTGGTGAAGGTATTTGCTTCTTTTTTTTTTCTTTTTTTTTCTTATTATTTTTTTATGTTGGTTTTGACAAATAACTTGAATCGTTTTTGCTTTTGTTTTTTTTTTGTGGACATTGAAATGCTAATTTGTGTTTTTTTGTATGAATTATTTAATTTATTTATTTTATTCTTGTTAGGAATTGGTTGAATAGTGTATTGTGGCAGCGGTGTGGTGATGATGGGGAGGCAGATTTAGGTTTTTTTTGTGGATTGGGCGGATAACGGCGCGTGTAGAGAATTCCGCGCAGGCTGAAACCTTAATCGACTATGTACATATTCATAGTCGATTAAGCTAATCGACTATGTTCTGGTAGTCGGTTAAGGTTGATCGACTCCAATTTTTTTTACTTTTTTTGGATTTTTCGTTTATTGATTCCAATTGTATAAATCAATTATAATGTGTGTATATTTTTTGTTTTTGTAATATATAGTTGATTTTGCATTTTTTCGCAGTTGTGATTTGTTATTTTTAGTAGCAGATTCTTAATCGACTATGCTCTGGTAGTCGATTAAAGTTCATCGATTCCAATTTTCCTTTTTTTTATTGTTTATTGATTCCAATTGTAAAAATCAATTATAATGTTCTTATATTTTTTGTTTTTTTGTAAAATATAGTTGATTTTGCATTT